ACAGGTTGGGTGACTCGGGAGCTGGGCGGCGGAGGACACGGTGCGGGGCCCCGTTCTAGGGGGAGGTCCTAGCGAGGGCGCCTCCGGGGGCGTCCGAGTCCCGGAATTCATTGACCCGGGGTTGAAGCCCCGAGTCCCTGCGATCTGTTTCCTCTAGGTCCTGGGGGCTCCTGACTCCAGGAGACATTTGTCAACCTTGGGGAACCTTATGAGGGACCCAGGGGTAGAGGCTCTATGTGGAAGGATCTTGAGGGATCTTGGCTCCAGGGGCCCCCGAGAGCCAGTCGTCGCTGAGCGACCCCCGCCACACGCACACACACCTTGAGGCTTCCCGAGCCCGGGAGATCCCTTGTTTGCCAGCGGGCGTGTAGTTATAAGACATCTTTGTGTTGGAGAGGCGTGATTGATTGCGATGTGTAGGAGCGGGAGGGGTTTGCAGGTCTTCCGACTCCATCTACTTCATTTTGCTTCTTTCCAGGGCTGGGGATTGAATCCAAGGCCTTTGCCCTGAGCTCCATCCCCAGCCACCAGCCCCGCCTGCCTTTTTATTCTGAGTCGGAATCACGCTAAATCGCTGAGTTGCCCAGATTGGCCTCGAACTTGGGATCCACCTGCCTCATCCTTCCAGAGTGCTGGGATAACCGCGACCCAGCTCTCTAAGATGCCTTGAGAGAGGCCCGGCACAGGAAGCCAGGCTTCCCGGGCGCTGTCTGCCCTGGAGGCAAGTGGATGCTTGACTGGTAGAACAAGGAGTCCGGTCCCAGCGTTCCCAGTGCCCCGCCAGTTCACACGCTCCTACCTGCTGTGGTCTCTGATTATCCTTCCTAGGTGTGACCCTCTGCTGGCCACCCGTGCCGAGGCAGCCACGCTCGTTAAACTCGGGCAGCCCTCATATGCTGCTGGAAACAGGATAGGCTGTGGTTCGCCACCTTTGAGAAGCATCTGCCAGGTTCTCAGCTGGTCTGGAGGCCAGAGAGGGGTCCTTTCTCAAAGTGCAGCTGTGTTCGTTCATCTCACTTCACCCAGGCAGCAAAACATTTGTGGTTTCCAGTTGTACTCTGGATCCCTAACTCCCCATCCCCTTCCTAAACAAGCCTGACTCAGTTTTCTAGCCTATACAACAGGGACAGCTCTGCTTCCTACCCTGCAAGGTGAGGATGAGTGAGTTAATGCAAAGGGTTTATCAGATTGCCTGGGACATAGCCAGTGACACGTAAAGGTCAGCTGCTAGTTATGAGTTTTTCTTAGTGTGGACATACCGTGTGCCCATATTTGTGATGAGTGCTACTGTGATCACAGTGGTGACCCAGAATAGTATCAGTCCCTGCCTTCAGAGTTATGTTCGCATGAGGGAAAATAAGTAGCTGAGCCAGTGGTACACACTCATCAACCCAGTACTCTGGGAGGCTGACGCAGGAGGGTTGCAAGTTCAAGCCCAACCCTGGCACCTTACAGAATTAGCAAGACTCTTATCTCACAATTAAAAAAACATTTTAAGAAGAGAGGAGGATGTAGCTCAGTGTGAACCTGTCTTCCATCCCCAGTACCACACACAAAAATTAATTTAAATGTTTTTGTTTGTTTTTGTTTTTTGAGACAGGATCACTCTATGTAGTTGAGACTGACTGGAACTCACTATGTAACCCAGGCTGGTCTTGAACTCACAGCGATCCTCCTGCCTCAGCCTCCCCAGTGCTGGGATTACAGGCATGCACCTGGCAAAAATAAATAAAATTTTTAAAAGGCCAATCACAAGTAAGCCAGTAAATGTTCACTAATCATACTGTCTGGTGGTGGTTAGTGCTTTGAAGAAGAAATTGTCACCAGGGAAGGTTTCCCTGAGAAGGTGGCATCTGAGAGCTAGGGAAGTGGCATTTTGGCTTGCTTTTGTTGTTTTCGTTGTTGTTTGGAGACGGAGCCTTGCTGTGTCGTTCAGGCTGGCCTGGAACTCACTGTGTAGCCCAGGTGATTCCCCTGCTTCAGCCTTCTGAGTGCTGGGATGACAGGTGTGTACCACCATGCCTAGCCCTTAGGTGTTTGTTGGGAGGATTGTTCCTCATGACAAGAACAGCCTGTGCAAAGGGCCTGGGGCAAGACAGAGCCTGAGGCACAGTGAGGAGGCCCAAGTGTGTGGAGGAAAGGGGTGAGGAGGAAGGAGGGAGCGCAGAGAGGGAATGAGTAGGTCACGCAGGGCCTTTGGGACTGTCGAGGCATTTGTAGCAATGAAGAGCCATAGGATTTTCAGCCAGATGGTGACATAGCCCAGCTTGCACACTGAGTGGGTCCCGATCCGCTTCCTAAGCTATGTAATAGCTTGCCTGGTGGTCAGCGGCTTTAAACATTGCTGCACATGGTGATCCCAGTGCTGGGAAGACAGGCAGGGGCCGCAGCCCGCCTCTCCTGGAGCCGCTGGCAGGAGGTCTCAGCGCCTGGTCATAAGCTCTGTCGTGTCTCTGGTGACCTTGTCACATAGGCCGGCCCTGTTTGGAATGGGAGCGGGCAGTCGATACCAAAGCCTGAGTTCCTGGAGGTGAGATGGCTGGGGACATCTCGGGATCAGCCACCACCATCCCGGGGGGCCTCCCTGTGGAGAACAGAGCTTGAGGCTGACACAGAGGGCGGGGACTCAGACCGAGTCCCAGAGAGGGAAGGCAGTTTGTGGAACACTGCACAGCAAGTGGGTGAGTCGGCTGGGCTCTCAACCCGGATGCCCTCCTAGGCCCTGTGAATAATCAGAGAGGGCCAGGGATGTCTCTGACCCAGCTTCACCTTGACTTTTGAAATTTTGTATGTTTTTGTGGTGCTGGGGATTGAACCCAAGGCCTGCGCACTGAGCTGCATTCCCAGCCGCACTTTAAACATTTCCCGTGCGTCACCACGCCCGGCCCAGCTTCTCACGCAGTGCTGTTCATTCTTGTGCCCAGCTGTCCAGGTTGAGCTGCGGAGGACCCGCACTGTGCACCGGCGGGCAGCATGGTGACCGAGCGGGAGGTGGAGGCCATCGGGCAGACCCTGGTGGACCCCTCGCAGCCCCTGCAGGCCCGATTCCGGGCCCTCTTCACGCTGCGTGGGTTTGGCGGCCCCGATGCCATCGCCTGGATCAGCCAGGCCTTCCGGGACGAGTCGGCCCTGCTGAAGCACGAGCTGGCCTACTGCCTGGGCCAGATGCAGGACGCCCGCGCCATCCCCGTGCTGCGGGACGTGCTGCGGGACAAGGGCCAGGAGCCCATGGTGCGCCACGAGGCGGGTGAGCAGCCCACCCTTCCGCCCTGCACACAGCCACTGCAGGTGACCGTTCTCGGGGGTGGCCAGCTGGCTCTCCTGTGAAGGGTCACGTAGTAAAGATTTTCAGCTCTGTTTTACAGACGGCACCGGCCGCAGTGACTCCTAAAAGTTACCCCATCAGTGGCACACACTTGTCATCCCAGTTCGGGGAGGCTGAGGCAAGAGGATTGCAAATTTGAACCCAGACTGAATAACTTAGTGAGACCTTGTCTCAGATACCCCAGGCCTCAGGGCCTTGGCACGTGCCACTCCCCCTCTTGCTTAAGGCTGCCTTGGTCTGCTGACTCCCCTCCCTCACATCCCAGCTTAAAATCTCCCGTACAAGAGGCTCCCTAAAGGGCTGGAGCTCCTTGTCCCCTGTGGCACTAGGTGTAATGATGTCCTCTCTCTGTCCATGGGGGGGCACTGTCTGGGGCGAGCTGTTTGGCTGGTCACTGCAACCTTGTGAGGTTCCAGGCCAAGTCCAGGTCCTGCAGAAGGATTCTGATTGGTCCACTTTGGAGTCTGTATGTGCTGCTGCTCCAATCGGCCATGGCTAGGGGTGGGGCGACAGCTGGTTGATGGCTCCCATGAGGTGGTGAGCATTCCCTGCTCATCCAGCCTGAGCTCTGGTTTGTTCTTAGGGGAGGCCCTGGGCGCCATCGGGAACCCGGAGGTTCTGGATCTCCTGAAGCAGTACTCTGCCGACCCTGTGCTTGAGGTAAGGAGAGCCTTGGCATCCATTTCTAGTTGCCAGGGCAACTGTTTAGCCAAGGATGTTCCAGGGATGAGGGAGGGGAGGGGAGCAACTGGGAGGGACCCCACCTCCTCAGCACGGTATCCAGTCACGCCAGGTCTCCCTGTTCTGTCCCTCTGCTGTCCCTCCTCGGCCCCCTGGACCCTGCAGGGTCTCCTGCTTCAACTATGGCCATTTCTTCCTCTTTTTGGATTGAACCCAGAGCCTTTGTAGTGAACAGCATTCTGAGCCCTTTATTATTGTTTGAGACAGAGTCTTGCTGAGTTGCCCAGGCTGGGCTTGAACTTGCAGTCTTTCTGCCTCAGTCTCCCAGAGCTCAGGGTTGAGGGATGTGCGCCAGCAAAGTCGGCCTTTGAAAGTAGAAACTGAAGCAGATTTAGTGCATTCCAAACTGTGCAGGCATCCACACTAGCTATCTCATCGCCTCAAAAAGAAGCCCCAGCCCTGGGCACCCATGAGTCCACTTCCTGCCTCTGGGGTCGCCTGTCACGGGTGTTTCCTACGCTACGCTGTGTCTGACATCTCTCACTGAGCACTGCGTCCTTAGAGTCCTCAAGGTCCCGCAGCCTGGCTGGCGAGTGTCACAGTCTCCTTTTCCTGGCCAAGTAATATTCCAGCGCGTGGGTGGAATATTCTGTATCCATCAGTCCATCTGTGGACGCTTTCCCTGTCTCCACTTTGGGCCGCTGTGAATGGGGCTGCTGTGGAGGATCTGTGTGAAGCCGAGGCCCGGATCTGCTACTCACAGTGCTGGTGGGGCACGGGATTTAGCTCAGTGGCACCGTGCGTGCCTCACAAGCGCAAGGTCCTGAGTTTGATCCCTGGCACCAGAAACAAAAGACACACACACACACACACACACACACAAGCACTCAGAAGCACTAGTGGCCTTTCATTCCCTCAAGACTGCATCCCAAGTCCCTGCACAGCTTAGTTGGACCCTGCTATCCCTCAGCCACTCACTTCCACCTGGGCCTCTCTGCTGGTCCTCCGCGGCGCTGCCTCCGGGCCTTTGCACTGGCCACACCCTCCCCCCCTGCAGGTAGCAGAGACGTGCCAGCTGGCGGTGCGGCGGCTGGAGTGGCTACAGCAGCACCCCGGGCAGCTGGGGGCCACTGGTCCCTACCTGTCGGTGGACCCCG